GGAAGAACCAAACGAAGACTGCGTGCCCATCCCCGAATAATGGTTTCTGATCTTCGGCTGATTATTTGTGTCGCACGCTACGCACCAGCCCACGGCCGGGCTAGAGAGCGGCGCCGCGCGCGCTACAGCGCGCGCCGCTTTCTCTCTAGCCCGGCCGTGACCAGCCATACGCGACTTCGATGTATGTTCTCAAAGCAACGATGAGCCATTTTGCAATTTCTCTGAAGAAATTAATGAAATAATTACAAAATTCGACAGAACGTGGAATCGCCCTAAATTTTTAGTGTATCGTGAATAAATTACAAGCTTTAGCTTTTTTCTGTTGTGTGGTTTAATTTTTGTGTAATTTTTTGGTCTTTCACGCTGCCCTCCCTGCCCCCCTCCTCCCCCTTTTCTGAACTGAAATCCTAAGCACTCCGCTATCGTGGGCGCCCGCCATCGGGTGCAACAAACAGAATTGCTGCAAAATTTTGCTCTCAGCGCAGCGTGATTGATTAGCCTTGGCTAGTTTCAATGTTTCGTTTTCATATGCAGGTTGAAGTACTGAGCGGCGTACTCTAATTGTCATAGGTTACGACTTAAAACTTGCAGAGCGTTAGTTAGAAATCTTTAAAAACGCATGCCGAAGAAAAAGCATCGGGGATAATCTGTGAACTGAAAGGCACCAGGCAAACTGGAAACGAGTTTATTAGTTTATTATATGGAAACGAGTTTGAGCACCAGAAAAATCATTTTCGGCGTGACAGAACAGTCTTGCACAAAAGAAACGTTCTTCGAGCTGGAGAAGCTTCACAGTCGGAAGTGCTTCCTCGACGGCTTATGTGTATAGTTCATGTGCTTTTCATTGTCGTCGGTGACTCGAGTGGAGTGATTCACTAAAAGGATCCTGAAGAATTTGTCAGCAATCAAACTTGCTGACCGTCTTCTGTGACTATTGTCAACACTTTCGGGGCAGTTCAGCAGAGGTACGTCCTCAAGATGCGGTCCTACGAGCAGCTGTAGAACTTCGAGAACATGCGTGTGTGGCAGGTGTTTTGCTATTTTCTCGAAGAATGTGACGATCCCGTTTAAAAGTGCAAGGAACTCTGGCCTCGGGTAGGCAAGGCCGCTTCTGTCCTGGCCTCTCAAAAGCGCGTACAGTGGCTGATCTTTGTCGCTTGTAGTGAGGAGCATGGCGCAAGATTCGCACCCGAAGTCCGTGATCAGTTTCGCGATGTAACCGCCGACGTAGGTCAAACCAGAGCATGTCACAGACAGTGGGGGAGCGGAAGTACATTCCCTAAGCTCTTTCAGGTCGTCAGAGAACGTCACCGACAGGCTACTGACCAACTTGTCAACATCAGTGTCGCACGTCACGACTTCAGGTGGCCTTGCGAACTTGGATTTTACAATTTGGTCCAAAGCAGCCGTTACAGCCCGGGCGTCGAGCATGTCGTTTCCACCGCACATGTACCTGACTCTGCCGAATACTGCTTCTATGGGGTCGCTGTTTAGCTTCCTTGTTAGCACGTAGTTGATGCCTTGGGTTAGGAGGTATCGAGTTGTTTCCACTGTTGAATTTGTAGTAAAAAGCAGGGCCTCAAACGTTTCGTCGGTGAAAGCGCCCTTCCCAGAGGCGACTGAGCTTGCTTGTACTTTCTTTACGTAGCACGTGAAGTCATTTTCTAGCCACAATAGCCGGCCATCGTCCACGTCTGCAATGGGGGCCTTCTGCCCCGTTCCCCCGAAAGAGCTGTCGTGCATATCAAACCAATCTTTCATTGTCCTCATGAAGTGCACGGTGGAACTTGCTCGCCTAAATGCGGAGAGTGCAGGGTCATTGCGGGAGTTTTCTTCGAGGTGTTCCAGTGCTGCACAAACCTGTGGGGAGAAGATCTGAACCGCACGAAGTACATTCATCTTCTCCAGGTTTGTAGGGTAGACGTGCTTCCTCGTCAATTTCCTGGCAAGCTTGATTGTCATATTCTTCTGGTGCTCGTACAGCTGTTGTACGAAGGTGCCACTAATCACACCTGAGCCATCCGTAAGCTGTCGCTCCAGGAACTGGTTGCGCACATTCTTCAGGACGTGGCAAGGATCGAAGCTGAGCAGAATGATGCGGCTGTCATCGTGTGGGTGCCTCACGACTGTTTGCAGAGAGCCACTCCCCAAGTGTTTGAACAAGGTGACGTTGGCTGAGTAATTGTCAGTCACAATGTGGGTCACAACGAAGCCACACAATTCCACCGCAGCGACCACCTCTTTTGTCCACGTGAACAGGTCCCTGCCGCTCAGCTGTTTTGTGAAGTAATACGAACAGGGAATTTTGTACTTGCTTGACAGGCCTTGCAATACAAAGCACAAAACTCTGTTCGCGAGCACTTCCTTCGAGCTGCTGGGCGTATCACCGCCGGGCTTGTCTTTAAGGCCAAACACAGCGTCGGCCTTCCTGTCATAGATTCACTTGGGTCTGATGCTTGCTTCATCGATTATCAAGGAGGCCATATGCTGCTTGCTGCTCAGCATCGACGCCTCGGAAACGAGCCTCTCCTTCATCGCGGCGCTCATTCCGGATGTCATCGGGGATGGACCCATGTACCTCTGTAGAGTACACTTTGCAGGCAAGGTTAAAAGGTCCGACGTGCGAGCGTAGTCATATCCTTTCGGCGAAATGAAACGCCATATTACGCACTCTCGAATAAACTCTTCAGGGTAACTGTCATGCTTTTTCCCGTACCTTCCGATCTGATGTAGAAGGAAAACGGCTTTTTTTTCCCCTCGCTCAGCGTCTGCCACAATTTCCTCAAGTGCAGCCAAGTGCCTGTTTGCACGGTACGCCTCGCTTGCCTTTTGTTCAGCTCTCAGCAGAGACAGAGACTTCTGACTTTGAGAACGGTGATAGGCGACTTGAGAACGCAGTCTTCCAACCATAGAAAGGTACCGACTTGCTCGCTGCGCATCATTGTTAGTGGTCTGGGTGGAAACATTTGCAGACGGCTTGTCGAAACTCTCCGGAGCATTCAAACCCGCAGGTAGTTCCTCTGGCTCTGCCTTCCGCTTAGTTGGTTTGCGAGGGGGCAAAGATTGTCTTACGACTGGTTCTTTCCGGGGCTTCTTCGCACTTGGCGCCAAGTATGCGGGATAATCTTCAAAGACAGTTGGCACGGCTCCGGGAAGCAGCTTTCTTATCCTGCAGTCGGGAGCGTAATCGATCTGATGGAAGTGCCTGCTGCATACGACAGTCGACGGCGACCTGTCGTTTATTACGAGGTTCTGCCTTGAAATGTTCCGCTGCCATTTTGAGCACAGTTCTTGATCCACAGGGAACTGGTGGAACGAAACCCCCGGCGTTTTCCCGGCACGCGATTTGCAGTACGGGACACAACAGTACACCATCACAGCACCGGTCGAAGCATATACACTGAGTTCACTTTACTATGTTGAACAACATGCAGCGCACTGCGATGAATTTCTGAAAACTCACGCCTTCAGCCTCTCTCAGACCGAAGAAAAGTAAGACGATGTGATTGTGGTTAAATCACAGAAGCACAAACACTGCGAAAACAGCCCGCACGTGCGTCGAAAGCAGCCTGCAAATGCAAGCGCACAAGCAGCGCAAGTGCCAGGCAAGGGTTGGCTCGCGTAGCCCCCGTGCGGAGACCGGCGGAACCGTACGTCGAGACTCCTCCCCTTTGTTCTCGCCGCCGCTGCGGAGGCCGTATGAAAGCGCGCGCGCCGCTCGCTCTCTAGCCCGGCCGTGGGTGGACATTCACCACGCTGTGCTTCGCGAATGTACTCTTTTTTGAGGAAATTCAGACAAGTTATGTGCTTCCCTCTTCACCTTTCCACACACAAACGAAGCGTCCCGTGGTATGGAGTCAACCGGTCCATGCGTTTTCCCTTCCGGCAGTCTGTCTTTTGGGTTCGGAAAGGCCATGTGCGAGAAATCCACCTGCAACAATCGATTTCCAGGAATAGCATATCTGTACAGTTGCTCAGGGCGGGTTCCACGGCTTTCTTCGAGCTTTGTGTGTAAATGACCTAACCTTCCCCAGAGGGAGTCAGCGTGTGTGAAAAAATTTCTACCCGCAATTTACACAAACAAAAGCGATTATGAACGCGCATTCTTTGTTCATGCTTGGAAGGCTAACAGCTGCCCGACGAATGTTCAAAAGAAGCCATCGGTGTGAGCTCCGGAAAAACTGCACCCAGTAGATGAAAAAGTAACGATAACGAGACACAACACGTTACCGCAAAATCGTAACGTAAATACGTTACCCGTTATAGTTCTGAAATTGCAACGATTATACGCTACAAGTTACCAATAAAGGCAACGTGTTACCAGTTACGGTGTCACTTGTAACGCATTACCGCCAGGACACCGCTTCAGTCGAATGCAACATAAGAGGTCCGGAGAGCCCATACGACCGATGTACTTCAGCCAATAGCCTCTTTGACTAAATAAATATAGTCATTCTCATTCACATGACAATGTGCTCCGAAGCCGGGGGCACCTACCGTCCAGTGAGTGACATCAGTCTGGAGTGAGCTGCCGTGGGCTTATGCACATCCGCCGGCCTTTGATAAGGAATTGTCAGAGATTTTTAAAGTTTTATCCGACTATATAGCCTGATGACCTCTGTGAACCACAGCGAAACATCAGCAAGTGTACCTGTGCTTTGGCAGAGCTTATCGTTGGTCGAGTTGATGCACAGCTTAGCGAACCACCATTTGTGACGCAACTAAGAACAGGGAAGAAATGCGAGGGAAGACAGGATAGGGCACTAGCACTTGTGCTTCTAGCGCTCTATCCTGTCTTGTGAAAAGTGGCCGTATACTGTCAGTCTTGTGAAATCAGCCCTATCGCGTGAAAAAGCCCCGTCTTTTCTTCTGTCCTGTCTTATACTACTTACTGGTGCCTTATCCTGTACAAGCAGCACTAGTGCTGCTTGCTCCTTTTATGCGCGTCTTTGTTATCTCGCAGCGTTGCGGAACAAAACAAGAGCTGTTCTGTGTTGCAGGATGCGACGGATCAATTTACCGAGAAGTGGAGCGGCTTGACAGAGTGCGTCCGCAACCTGCAGCTGGAGCTAGACAGGGCAGGTCAGTGCGATCGGATTGAATTAGCTCATGTGCATGCCTGAATAACGAGTATTCGTATCGTCAGCCATATCCGGGTTCTCATGGCTGTTCGTACGTGCACGCGAACGGCATGAAGTTAATGTCCGAGCTGGATAGCGAATGGCGTGCCCTATTGGAGTGCCCGTCACTCGCTATTTACTGCTGAATTCGTTATTTCGTGTCAGTTGTTGATGCTCAATAAGGAGAAGAATATGGCGAGTGGGTGATTAAGTGCGTGAAACAATGTTAATTGGCCCACAATGGCGAATCTTTTATTGACAACGTCCCACAAAATCGAGTGTCAAAAAATCACCGCCATATCCACCAAGTGAATGATGTTAGGGAAGCTTGCTCGGAAATGTCGGGTAACCCGCGTATCTTCCGTACACATTTTTCTACCATCATACAAACATGTGACGGGTTTGCTTGACGGCGAGCCCTCTTCTCTTCGGTCTCCTGGGCTCTCACTGCAAGGTTTCAAGGGCGAGCGCGAACTGCTATACTGCGTTGCGAGCCTGCGGCTATCCTAGCACAGCAGCGAGTTACTGTATATGCTACCTTTAAGCAGACTTGCGCCAAGGTACGTCATGTTGCGAAACGCACCTCCGAGAGACGTTACGAATGGCGCCTCGAATCTTTCCGCTGCAACCACTGTTTCGAAAGACGGCGACGCCAACACGGTCCCGAAGGCGCCACTGCTTCGAACTCCGCCGGAAAGGTCACCTGCCGTTTGGTAGCGTAGGTTTCTCAGCTCGCGACTGCTTCTGCGCAAAGCTGATAGACGAGCGGACGAGACGACGGTGAGTTAAACAAGGTTTATGTACAGCATATATACAGAGGCGTTACAAATTCGGCACTGGGGCCAACAGAGACTCGAAGAGCCGAGCTCTCCTCTCGAACACATAGCTCTACTCTTAAATGGGTCCGCTGTAAAAAAGGGGTCTCTCTCGACGGGCCGCAGGGCTTCTTTTATAAGCCCCGGGTCCAACCCAAACGTCCAACCCGAAGCGCCGCTGGTCCCGAGGTCCGAATCCTCCAATGAGGTCGCCGCTGGGCCGCGTCCTTCTTTCTCCTAAATCTGGAGAGGCTGCGCTGCAGGTGGCTGCACCCAAGGACGAGTGACGTCGCAAGGCATTGCGTCAGACCCGCCAGACAGGAAGGCGCCAGTTGTTTACTCGACGCGGGCTCGCTTGCGGAGGTGACTCACTGCACGTGCACGCCAGAAAGGCGCGGTTGAGTTGTTGATCGCGTCAGGCGGGCGACGCGGGCTGGCCTTGACACAGATTGCCTTTTTCAGAGGCACGGACGTTCGTTGTTGACTCGCAGGCATAACAGCACCCCCGCCTCCAGACAATGCGCCGGAAAGACGAGCTGCTTTCACGGGGCTCGGATGACAGGCGCGCTCGTTCGCCAGGTCCCTCCAGGTTCGCCTCCAGGGCCATGGGTAGAATGCAGCTCCAGACTCCGTTCCGGGAACACATCCCATTTTTGACGACGGATCCCAGCTCCACTGGCTTGTCGCCACAACTTGTTGACCAGCTTCGCTCGTCTCTTCTGACAATCTTTTGGCTTCAGCACTTGTCGATGGTTCTGCAACTTGTCAAGAACGGTTCGACAACAGACAACACACGACACAAGCAAGTGCCCTCGGTCACCCGACAGAACACCAGACAAAGTATAGTACAACATATACCTAGCTACGTGTCTATCGGAATTTCATTCCCTCTACATCAAGAGGCACATGTGGGACACAAGGCTCTTAAAATGAGAGCTCAATTTTTTTTCATACAACAACGTAACGAATTAGAATACAACAAAGCTGGCTCCTTGAGCTCTTCTGGACGAGAGCACTCAGCTCAGCTCGTGATGAGGTCAAAATTTTGCCCCGAATCGCCAGCGAGAAACCGAAAGGTTGAGAAGGTACTAGCTAGAACGCACTACTCAATGCACCTGCATTAGCGTTTAGCTTTTCCTTTTCTTTTTTGCAGCGAACGTCGAAGTCGTGCCGTTGGAGTATCATGCTCCACCTCAGTAACCGACTACTTTTAGGCGACGATACCTAGGCGGTACCAAGAGCGGCTCACACTTGCGACGTTGCACAGGGGAACAACGATACGGCTTGCTACGGATTGACTCCTCAGCGCTTAGCTCGATATCGTGTTCGATCACCCTCGTGTTTCCGGGGCGGTCCGAAAACGCGTCTCCAAACTCGGAAACAATTCTTCTCAGGTCCTCCTTCCGGACTTCACTTAACCTAGGCTCTAGGTTTATCTGCTCCCAGATTACTTTCGATCCCCCTTCGATTACCTCACAAGAACTAAAAATTTCTGCTTCCTCTTCCTCTGAAGCATTCCACAGCTGATTACGACCGCTTGATGTTGAACGTAGGGTTTCATCAAGTTGTAAATTTTGTTCTGCCGCCTTCCTAATTTCACTTCATTATTCGTATCGGGAAGCTTCGATATTACATTGGCAGGCCCTTCCCAATCAACCTCAAGCTTGTTCCTTTTGGACGGCTGCAGCAGCATTACCTGACTTCCTACTTCAAAAGCACGCTTCTTCGCCGATTTGTCGTAGTACTCCTTCGACAACATTTGTGAAGCTTTCACGTGGCTTTCCACTGGCGCTTTAATCGAGAGGTCCTCGCGCTGCTCTTGAATGGGCGTCTCTCGATCATCCCTCGACAGCTCGCTCCAACTTTCCGCTACAGGCGAGAGCGTGCAACCCTCTCGCTCTGACTCAATGGCGCCATGTCGTCTCCCCCTACGCATACCGCGCCGGTCGCTTCGGCGACGGGCCGCTCGCGTGACTGCTCACATGACTCACGCGGAAAATTTTCTTTCTGGGGTTCCGTCGACCCGCCGATAAGGTCACTTGAGAGTTCACCGCATTGAACAAGATCAAGCTTCTGCGAAAGCTTTCGCGCTTGCGATCGCGTGAGGGCCATGTACGCTAAGTTGGGGAAGAACGATTTGCCCTGCTCTTTGAGAAGCTGCTCTGAGTTGTTGGAGAAAGGATAAGGAAAACGATCGTTTAGCGCGGCAGACACAGCCGCTTCGGTGCGAAGCTTACCGAACGGGCCTTCAATGACAACCGTAGCTATTGGTAGGCAAGCACTCTGCTCCTCGGCGACTTGCCTGATCCACGCGCGTTCTCCTGTAAAGTCATCCGGAGACACCAATGAAGGATGGACAACGTCCATGGTTGCCGCTGAGTCTCTAAGTGCTCGGCACGTTTTCTCATTCACTCTAATTTCTTGGAGATACGGCTCCAACAACCGCATGTTTTTTTCTGATTCTCGGATCGTTGCGAACGCAAACTTTTCCTGGCAGTTTCTCGCGATGTGTCCTTCTTTTTTGCAGTTGTAGCAGATTAGCGGCTTCCGTTTGTTTTCCGATTCAAATGCCCGTGTGGTAGAAACCTCACTCGATTTCTCCGCTTCCGTTTGTCCTTCCCCTACAGTGTCCTTCGTAAGAGACGGGTCCTTCTTGAAATTACGGTGCGGAGCGGGTTTCCGTTGATCAGGTTTCCTTGAAAAGCCCTCTTTCCTTTCATCCTTTTCCACGCGCACTGCCCTGCTATGCAACTTTCGGCGAGTATAATACTCCTCAGCTAACTCTGCTGCCTTGTTTAGCTGTACTTCACCAAGTTTGTCCTGCAGCCAAAGTTTGACATCCTCCTCGATGCAGCGGTAGAATTGCTCCAATGCAACGCATTCCACCACTTTATCGCGGTCGTCATAAACACCTTCGCCCTTGAGTCATTCAATTAAATCGGCTTTAAGACGAAACGCGAAGTCAACGTGTGACTCATTCCCCTTTTTAGCATACCGGAACCTTTGCCTGAAAGCCTCGGGTGACAACTTATAACGTCTTAAGAGCACTTCCTTAACCTCGTCATACCTCTCAAACGCTTCCCTCGACAAGCAAGTTATCGCGTCGGACACTTCGCCGGGAAGAAGAGCTAACAGGTTCCGCACCCAAAGAGACCGCTCCAAAGCGTTTCGCTCACAGACGTGTTCAAACTTGACGAGATACTTCGCCATGTCTTCGCCTACTACGAACGGTGGCAGTTGGTCCCGAATTCTAAAACCGCTGACATGAATCGTCGGAGAAGCTACGCTAGGCGCCTGCGAACACTGTGGGATTGCCAATTCTATTCGTTTCAACTCAAGGCGCTCCTGTCTCTCGGTCTCCTCACGGCGTTCTCGCCTTTCAGCTTCTTCACGTTCGCGAACTTCTCGCCTTTCAGCTTCTTCACGTTCGCGAGCTTCTACTTCTCGCCTTTCAGCCTCCTCGCGGCGTGCTTTTGATATCCTCCCAGGACTCATCGACTTCCTCAGCCGACACTCCTTCATCCCTCATGATCTCAAGGATCGCTTGCTTTCGTTTCGCACGGCCCAAAGTAATGCCGAGTTCTTCACGAATTTCGATGAGTTCCTTCACTTTAAGGTTCTCTATCGTTCACACTAGCCTCTTGCTGTTTGCCCCTGTTAACAATTACTTGCCGTACCCACTATAAGTCAACTAGCAAGACGCGCAAGCAATTTTTCACACTCCCTTGTTTACCCCCTCTGCATTAACTTTGGTTTCAAAGCGCTTCGACTTGGCTTGAAACGATCAAAGCTCACTTCAATGCTTCACACAGCCCTTCTCTAAACTACTACAACCTGAGCTAGAGTAGTCTGGTGAACTGAGGGGAAAACATCGGGCACTCACCGCATCGATGTCGCTGACGCCGGCCGATCCCGCAGCTGCCAACCACTGTTGCGAAACGCACCTCCGAGAGACGTTACGAAGGGCGCCTCGAATCTCTCCGCTGCAACCACTGTTTCGAAAGACGGCGACGCCAACACGGTCCCGAAGGCGCCACTGCTTCGAACTCCGCCGGAAAGGTCACCTCCTGTTTGGTAGCGTAGGTTTCTCAGCTCGCGACTGCTTCTGCGCAAAGCTGATAGACGAGCGGACGAGACGACGGTGAGTTCAACAAGGTTTACGTACAGCATATATACAGAGGCGTTTACAAATTCGGCACTGGGGCCGACAGAGACTCGAAGAGCCGAGCTCTCCTCTCTAACACATAGCTCTACTCTTAAATGGGTCCGCTGTAAAAAAGGGTCTCTCTCGACGGGCCGCAGGGCTTTTTTTATATGCCCCGGGTCCAACCCAAACGTCCAACCCGAAGCGCCGCTGCTCCCGAGGTCCGAATCCTCCAATGAGGTCGCCGCTGGGCCGCGTCCTTCTTTCTCCTCAAATCTGGAGAGGCTGCGCTGCAGGTGGCTGCACCCAAGGACGAGTGACGTCGCAAGGCATTGCGTCAGACCCGCCAGACAGGAAGGCGCCAGTTGTTTACTCGACGGGCTCGCTTGCGGAGATGACTCACTGCACGTGCACGCCAGAAAGGCGCCGTTGAGTTGTTGATCGCGTCAGGCGGGCGACGCGGGCTGGCCTTGACACAGATTGCCTTTTTCAGAGGCACGGACGTTCGTTGTCGACTCGCAGGCATAACAGTCATCTTGGGTTCAAATGTCTTGCGGGAAAGCCCCTCACCACCCGCGTAGGAACAGCGCTTGCGCTTATATATAGCGTTGCTTTATTTATTTTTTTGCTGTCTTTTCTATATAATTTTTATGAAGGTACGAGACACACTTAGTTGTTCTGGTCATGCCTGGAAGCCTTGATCTTCTGTTTACGTTTTTGGTAAGTAATACTGAAAAAACGTGCGTCAGCTCATTGAACCAGTTGTACATATGAATATTTATAGTAGGCAACACATTCGCTTCGGCTTCTTTTGGGCTGTTTTTTTTTTCTATTTACATATATAACATTGCTAAAGGTAGCATGTACAGTAACTCTTTGCGAGTAAGCACAGCGGCGCCTCTAGCGGGAGCAGTGAAAACTAAACACGCTGCCGACAACGGAGAAGGTGCGAGCATAAGATGCTTAACGCGCAAGCTCCTAAAATAATAAAGGTAGAAAATCAAGGCTACAGCTCAAGTACAGTACTCACGGATTCGAATTCTACTTCACATACTTCAGCATAACAAGTGGTATGCGCTATTGCTTGAGATAATTATGTCATATCGCGATGAATCTGGTGTCTAAATGGGTAGTTGGCTCGGACCTACGCGTTGGATTAAAAATTACGCTGATATGCGGATATGCCCCGAACTGATGACAGCCGAGATGAAAGTGGGTACTCCATTTAGTCTTGAATAGTCCTGTTTTAATCCGTGCATATTATATGCCATCCGCGCAAAGCTTTGCCATAGGATATGTGACGTGTTGTCCACAATAGAACTCATGAAAATGAAAGTGTCCTGCTACGTTTTTTCCCCCTTCAGTATTACTCTCGCTTAGCTTCCTTCATTGTTTTTCATGGACAGGCGGTGTATACACATGAACAGGGACTCCCTAACAAAAAACGAAGAAAAAATGGCAGTCACTTGTTTTCGGGCTATCCGCTGTTTGTGGCAGGTTTTTGCTCCGGCAGTCAGGGAGTATGACGGGAAACTGAGTGTGCCGCATAACGTAAGGTACACGATTCTTCGTACCTATTCAGTTCCCAGACTGATTTGTGCTCTTAGCTTTTGCATAACTGCGTGTACATTTTGGTAACAAAGTGCTAGCGGACAGATAGCTGTCTTGTCATGTGAACTTTTTATTTGCACATTTCGGATCACTATAACAAGTTATCTTTCCCATGACTTTTCCGGCATTGAATTAGCTTTTTTTTTTCGTAGGTATATGCCTACAGAATGCCTATAAAAAAACAAGAACACCCCTCCCTCTGGCCTCACCTTATTCTTCCGTGTCATGTTCAGCGACGGATTCGGGGTTTTTCGTCAGCGTTCTTGTCACGCTCACGTCCGAGCTCCGATATTCATGGAACTGGATAGTATAGGATGTCCTCCTAAGCATATAACGTAATTATGAAGTGTCACTCGGGTACATATATAGTGTGGAAGGAGTAGATTCGCTTCTCGAACCTGCTGTAAGCTTATCGTTTTATTCCATTCAATTTTGCTCCCCTTACTATTTCAAAATTTCAGCCAAACCGAGCAATTTGCCCCGGAATCTCCCTGACTTCACTGACTGATTCCCACTTTCACGACGACTAAAAATGGGTATACAAGACCCTCCACTCCCCTCCATCTCTAAACTCCCCTTCCTAATCCCCAAAAGAAACAAATCACACCGTTGCCGCGGATATTGCAAGTATGCGGCATGGGAGGCAGCCTCATTCATTGCAGTGACGCCGATATATCTGCTGTGCAGGAGGATATGGCTCTGTATATATATATATATATATATATATATATATATATATATATATATATATATATATATATATATATATCCAGCGAGTGTCTTCTGTGAATCCAGTGATGAATAGAAATTGGCTTGAGCGGACAAACGTGCGAAAACTTTTATTGCTCCTACGTTTCGGCCGGGGTCCGGCCTTCGTCAGGGAAGCCTGACGAAGGCCGGACCCCGGCCGAAACGTAGGAGCAATAAAAGTTTTCGCACGTTTGTCCGCTCAAGCCAATTTCTATATATATATATATATATATATATATATATACGAAGGCACGCGGTATGATGTTACGCAACTAAATGTGATGCACACAGTTGTCCTTAATAGAAGGACGACTCCTGCCAGGCTATTATTACCGTGCTATCGAGTGTTTCCCTTTATCTGCGCCAAGTTGTCAGCCACGTATGAGACCCGTTTCGGAAGACCTCACCACTGCAGGCATCGATCGTATACGCGCAGAGAGCAAGGCCGACGTCGAGCGCATCTCGAGCCGGTGCCGCGAGATTCTGGAGTGCCAGTGCAAACAGCTGCCCTCCAATGATGTTGCCAAGGTGGAGGCCCTACTGCTGGGATTCCAGTGCAGCACCAGGCTGGCCACTCACGCCGAAGCCATCAGCTTGGCACTTCAGGTCATGGAGATGTTGAGGCGAGTGCCACACGTGCATCTTTATTATTATTTTAGTATTTTTATCAAACGTGCACTGAGGAGTGGCTACCATATTCTGGCGTCGACTGCAACCCTTTAGCGCTGGTACATAACTTTGGACAAAAAAAGTCTTTTGCCTTGCGTATTCAAGTTCAAATGGTTCTCGTTATTAACAGAACTCGCGTACGGTGTGCACTCGCGATGTTGTCCAATCAGCACGCAGGTGCGTTTTTTTTTGTTTTTTTTTGAAGAATGATTCCACCTTCGAGTAGGTAATTAATAGTATTAATGACTGCAGCAATGCTTACGATGATTAAAAAGCGCCAGGCCTGCACGGAAGGCACAGTACAGTCACAGCAAAAGAATGAAGAGCAGCTTTTCGGAGGCTTTTCTAAACACTCATTTGGTAAATGCTACAGGCACACTTGCTTGGTACCCACTGCGCTATAAATATTCATAATGTCTGCATAGTAGGCCGGCATTCACTACGCCTTCTCCTTCGTGATTCTTCGGAGAAGCTTGGTTTATATACGCGAAACACTTGTAAGGAATTTTGTGTTGCATTCGGTGGCTGACGACGATGAAGAATTGCGCCTGAAGTGGGTATGTGCCACAGCTAATAGGTCATGAAGAACAAGCTTTTGCAAAGGGTTACAGCATTGAACAACCCACTCGTTACGCGAATCGCATTGTGTGGCGCCTGGTTGTTCCTTTGCTGTTCTAAAACGCTTTATTTCTCACATTAGCGCGATTTGCTTTCCCAACATCAAGCCTGTCTAAGGCAAGTCTGCGAACGAATCCCAAGCACCGGCGTGGCTCAGCGGCAGAATACGGGGCTGGCACGAAGTGGACTCGGGTTGTGATCTCACTTTATAACTACAATGTCCTTGGTATTCATGATACAAAAGGCTTTGGACCACACGCAAGACGAGGAACGTGACGACCGCGCACTTCAGCAAATATTCGATTTTAGTGAATATTCGATTCAGTGAGCATGGGATGGTGCACTTCAGCCCCATCCCATGCGCAGAACTTTGGAGGTGCCCTTGTTTGAGAGAGGCAGTAACGGAACTACGCTTATTTTTTTATTTTTTTCTCCCCTTTTCAAAGTCACTTCAGCGCAGAGGCAGAACACTGTAAGCGGGTTGGCCACCATACCAGTCCCGATGGCGCGGTGATCTTTTAAACAGAAAAAAAAACCTTTGCCGGCGGCTCCCCTTTGAATCCTGGCACGTTCAGCAGACAGGGGGGGGGGGGGGGGGAGTAATTCTTAAATAAAAAAAGATAAAGGTGAGCGCCATAACTGTTTCTCAGGGGGAGGCCACCTCAACAAAAGCTCGAGGGATATGGGTAGAGAAGGGATTAAAAGGATATGGAGGAATTAAAGGTATAGAGATAGAGAGAGGAGCAGGAAGAGAGAGAGGCGCTGGGCCAGCCACATACGGAAGTAAGGAGAAGGTAGGAAAGATGGACATGGTCGCAGAAGTCCGAGGACGGGGCACAACTCAGCGAGAGCTCTTGTCGGCGTCAGGAGATGGCGCAGGGCGAGCCAGTCGGCCGGAGCTGCGCTGTCGTCCTAGATCACGGGCACAACCGGTCGGCACGAAATACAGTGAGCGAAAGAACAACCGCACCACTGGGAACACTATCCTCCCTCTACTTCCAGGGCTTGCAACGATCCGTGGCAAACGTATCGGGCCTTCTCACCCCTGAAGAAAAAAGCCGATCATCAAACATCGGGTTTCTAAGTTAATATAAAAATTGGCTGGAGTTTTCTGGTGTTTTTTATTTTTCTGTTAGCGCAGCCAAGCACGCGTCTGCCGAATGCTCACCTTTGAAAGAAATTGGCCCCGTATCTGCATGTAATCTGCAAATGTCGTCGAAAGACGATAGTCTTGCGTGCGGAAAGAGTGAACAAGACATTTATTTGATATTCTGCGCAAGAAAATCGGTGAATGGTATTCTGGAGGCGCTGCATTAGGGTGCCTCGAGCGTGCAGTGGAGGCGAATGAGCGCATCAAGTCAGAGATAGAATAAAACATTTATTTGCGACCGAGGAAAGTGTGTCGGTGAGTGGGCTCCTTAGTCAGGGATCCCAGTGGCACGGGCCGCTGTCCTCGCTCGTGTCACGAGGGCCTCCTGGGTCTTCGGATCCGAACTGGACAGAGCTGCCTCCCACCTTACAGTGTTGTGTTGTGCTCTGGGTTGTAGAGGTGGATTGTGTGGGCATTCCCATACCATGTGTTGCAGGGTGGCTGTTTTAGTGACGCAGAACCTGCACTGTGGTGCGTATGTGTCGGGATCTATCTTGGACAGTATGTATGAATTGGGGTAAGACAAAATCTGTAGGCGACGCCACGCTACCTGATATTCTTTACTGAGCTTTGGCCCCGGGGGCGGAAGTTTCCGTCTTTCAAGTCTTTGATGATCTAGAATATATGTGTATGTTAGGAACGTGTTCATACGCATAGCCGAGGTTGGGTGCGATATGCCGGGGTCGGAGGTCCGGAAGAGTAATTCTCGGGCCGAGGCATGGGCGAGCTCATTGCCTCTAATTCCGCAGTGGCCCGGTATCCGTATCAGCTGTTTCCATTCGTCCTCTGAGCGTGAGGACGAGAGTTGTGTAAGAAGTCGATGCGCAATGGGGCCAATGTAGCCTTTCCAAACATTTTGGTAGGCTGCTTTTGAATCTGTTAGAACGAAAGTGGACCTTGGGTTTCGTAGGGCAAGGGCAATTCCTGCTTCTTCCATACTAGTTGTGTCTGTGTCCTGGGCTGATATACAATCAACCTGATTTCCACAATGAATGACGCTTGCTGTATATTTGCCGTTCACTGGTCCAGCTGCATCGACAAAGAAGGCGCCCTCAGTATCTGAGCAGTTGTCGTGAACTTTTGCCCATGCCCGACATCGATGTTCGTGGAACTGAGGATACATGTTGCGTAAAAGTGGTTTGATGATGAAGTCCTGCCTCCATTGATGTCGGATACGTTGTTTTCCTCTTCTCTCAATGGGGGCTTCGGTGCCAAGTTCTGATAGTGTTTTCCGTCCCGTTTTAGGGATGGTAAAGCGCATGACTTGATTCGTGTGGTGTGCATGGAATAGTTATGATACGGTATTGTGGAGCCCTATTTGAAGCAGACGTTCTGTGAGGGTCCACGAGGAAGGTTCAGAGCCTTCTTGAGAGTGACACGTATGACTCTGTCTATTTTGTGCTCGTCTGCTTTCAAGACCCTCAGGTAATGAAAGCTTTAGGTTATGCGGCTGATAACAAATGCCTGAATGAGTCGCATTATGTCGTGTTCTTTCATCCCTCGTCGTATGTTAGCCACCCGACTAATCATGCGAGAGATTTGTAGGCAGGACGTTTTTAGTTTATGTAAAGCAAATGAGTTGTTACCCTGATTATTGAAGTGGGCCCCCCAGAATTCGGATGGTCTCAACCTCTTTAATTTGCGTTCCATTGAGTTGTACGTACGTTGAGGGATGTATTGTCAGATGCCTTATTTCTATATACTAGTATTTCTGATTTGGTGGGGGAGCACTCCAGACCATTCTTGCGTCCTATCTTTTCTACGATGGAGGCGGCCTGTTGGAGGGCTTCTTCTATCTGACCCAGGTTACCAAACCGGCTCCATGTTGTGACGTCATCAGCATATATGGCGTGGCGTACTTGCGAAATTTCATTTAGGGCCTCCGGGAGGCGCATCAGGGCGATATTGAAGAGGAGCGGAGAAAGGACAGCCCCTTGGAGAATACCGAAATCACCAAGTCGCGTCACACGTGAGACATAAGCGCCATCTGGCAGTTGTCTTAGAGAACAAATCGCGTGGCTATGAGACGGGTGTGCGCGCCCATCTCAGAGGTGATAAGGTGTAGAACCCAAGGCGACGGGTAGGTGCCACCACCGTTTCGTTTTAGCAAAGCGTTGAAAACACTCGGCATGCAAGCGATGCATGGTCAGCGCAGCGTGATAAGCGCTATACGGTGCTTAAAATTACTTATGTATGCCTTTTCTAGTAAGAGACGCACATGCAGAATATACACGTGTTGTTACAGTGCCCCAGACATGCGCAATAATTGCTTTTTAATTGACAATTGCAAAAGCATGAACACTCAACCTGGAGCAACATAGGTGTGTGCTGCGGATGGGGGCGGCCGTTTCAAGAACCCGGAACAGTTAAGAGTTGACAAACAGACAAATGTATAGACAGACAGACAGACAGACAGACAGACAGACAGACAGACAGACAGACAGACAGACAGACAGACAGACAGACAGACAGACCAACATTTTTGCGTCGAAGCTCCCCAAGAAAGTCTATCGTCTTTAATAATACAGATATCTGTGCTGCACGCCCTAAACTCAGAGTGTAGAGCTTTTTGCTGCGTTTTGTAGCCCGTCTACATTCCTTGGGGCGTACAAAGAACGCAAAAACTCAGGTATAAGTAACTTGAGTTTGGGAAATGCCCGTGTCATCAAGCTTTTTGCAGAATGGACTGAGCGAACACAATGACGTGTGAGAAACCACCGGAAGTACTTCCGTGTGTTAAACCTGACTATAAATGGAAAGGAGTTTGAATAAGAAAAAAAACTACAAAAAACGGGTGCTGCTATGTTGTGTCGGTACGGAGTCCTGAACTTCAGGCGTGTTGGCAAAATGTTTAGAAGCTCCTCAAGTTCTCGGGGGGTCACGAAAATCTTTGACAGCATTACAGCTTGAAGGAATTTGTTTTTGCCATTGATTATAAGCGTCGCGCATGGCAGGAGCGGTGTGTTTCTGCCGCCTTCTTCCTTGAAATCCACTCGGAAAGCTTTCAACGTATCACATAGCAGGAAATGACATAAAAGTTGATTGCATGTGTTGTCACTACATTTTTAACAAAACTTGAAATTCGTCGAGATGGTGCATTGCTATCGGAAACGTTTTTAGCGCAAAACAATACATCGAAAGGGCATTCACAAGCGCCCGTCCCGTCTCCCTCGTTCTTGGGAATATTTTGTTTTGCACTCCGTGCAAAAACAGCAGCGGCATCTGAGGACAAGCAGTTCAAGGCAGGAGAGAGCGAAGGGGCGCTCGATGCTTGCGAGTCGTGCTGCTGTCTCGCCTTGGAAGCCGCATGATTTATAAAGGTGGAATACAGTGCTCATTCTCCTTTGATTTGGCACATAATTGTAGATCAAACTCAATGTAAATCAAGATGTTGCGTAATGAAATTCCCGGGAGTTGCACATGTGCCAGAACATGCTGCAGAACTCACTTCCATGCCCTCTTAAAGGGGCCCTGCAAAACTTTTTGAGCATGGTCAGAAAACGCTGCCGATCGATAGTAGAGGCTCCCGACAACACGCGAGCCAAATATTATAGCACAGCACGCGGCCTGGAATTCACAATAAATTACCAAAGTCAGCTAAAAATTGCTTTCTCTTCTCTCGACAAATCACGCAATATGCCCAAAAACTACACGTGGCACATATATCAGCCATTGGCTGATTTGAACATGGTGCGCTCGCTCGTTAGAAAGATCGGCGCGGGGGGCCGCTACTTGTCCAGGCGCGCATGCGCGATCACACCGGAAAACCACGCATTCGAAGAAAAAAAAAAAGAAAAAGTGCTCAAGGTGACGAGGCGTGGATGACGTGTTTTGTTCGCCCCTCCCATCCCTCCCTGCTTAGCCTCCAGCGCTTTAGTCGGGACGAGAGAAGAGAGAATGCAATTGCAGCACGCGACAAACCTTTGTAACTCCACTCGCACTAGACGGATTCTTAAACTTTTTTGCGGCGTTGAGTTCGTGAGACAATAAGCTATTCCAGTGAATTCATTCCATGGTTACTTGAAAAAGTGTTTTAGGGCCCCTTTAAAGCCATGTTCATTTATTTCGAACAATTGTGAATTACACTAGATACACAACAATGGAGTTACGGATAATTATTTAGTTTTCCTCTCGTTTTTATCACAATTCGATATGCATTCTTCTCTGAGAGAAGATCATACGAGTTTCGTAGCATGCACGAGCATAAATTGCTCATTATTCTTTGTCATAGTCTGCGAACGGTGTACTCCATAAACGCATTACCTATTAGCACTAAAGTTGAAGCCAGTGCAATGCATAGAGTCACTATTACATAACCAAAAATTACAAGTTCTTTAGGAGAAACTCCTAACGTCTTTTTAGAAATTCTAACTTCAAATTGTGAAATCTCGCCAGTGCGAACGGCATTAGCTCCGTGAACAAATACACTGCAAACAAATTTACAAATAGCTGTGTACTTTGGAAGTAGGCAATATACATTAGCTTCTTGGTCATCTAAGCATTTTAATGTTGATATCTCACCTCAGTGGTGCATTTTAAGGCACTGTTTCATTCTGTGCCTTTAAGTTAAGGTTATCATTTTTATTCGCAGATATAAGCAACTGGTCTGTATCAAGGACCTTCACTGGAACGAGTTCCAAGGGTGTGGGGAACTAGACAAATTTACAATAAAGAAAATAAGATATGTGGCTTTGCAAGCCGGCGCATACACCATTACAACGCGCCATAAAATGAAACTGGAAATATTTGTAATCAGGTCAGCAAAATAAAAAAAACTTCCTCAATAAATAAGTTTTATTTTTTCGCATAGGACTCACTAGGACCCAGACTAACCAGTATTTCGCTGAAGTGAACTCACTCAAACTCATGGCGTATTCGGTTGGCCACTGGTACTCTGGCTCAGAGTCGCCAGAGGCAGAGGAAGCTCGCAATCGGAGCGCGAGGAGCAGCGTACCAACCGAATACATCGGCGATCTCAGAGCGCCCAGAGCAGTTAAAGCATCTAGGGGCTTTAAGAGCAGTGCGCCTGTAGCGCCACCGTGCAGAGAGCGCGGGAAGCTGCCGGGTAAACAGTGCTGTGTCTGCGCCGCTTCGACAAATGGTGCCAATCAGTTCACTACATATCTCTCAAATTTCTTATTCTTTCTCTCTCTTTGACATGTCTGGATGTAGCGAAATCCTTCCGAGCTCAGCACATAAACCTGGCGATCGTCTTTGTCCGAGCTGCCATCCTCAAGACAAATAAAGAGGCTCTATACAGCATGGAAGTTTTCGACGCCATCGCTAGCCACCTCGTTGGTGACATGGTGCATATATGGCTTCGTATATGGGAATTCGCCCCACACAGGTTCAAAAACGCCACTAACAATGCACGTACACGAAGTATTACGCACCCGGCGATGTCCCCTTCCAAAATGAACGCTCGCGCCCCTCCCCTTGTTCACCTGCCGGCAGCCACGTCATTGGCCGCAGTTGGTCACATGATCTGTCTTCACGGTCAGATCGCGCCACGCTCTCATTTCGAAGTCAGAGCAGTTGGAGCACTCTGAATTAGAGGGTGTCGCTCTGAAAGAACCAACCGAAGGTAGTCCGAGCACTCGAATTCTACCAACCGAAGGCGCAGTCACTTTTCAGAGCGCTCCAGAGCGCTCGTAAACGCCCAACCGAATACGCCATCAGGCTCGCCGTGGTGAAATTCAGCCGGGCTCATCACTGAGACAAACCTAAGTATAACTCAGCCGGGCTGACTCAGACTCAGACTCACGCCTCAATCTGAATCTTCCAGTTCTTTTGATTGGCTCATCAGTGAGTTTGTCGACCTATAATCGTGAAACATCTCTCGTTCATGTCACGCGTTGATGAAGATCTTTTGTGTGCGTTCATGATGGTGAATTATGGAAGAATAAGGAAGGGTGGTTGCTATGCCCACATGACGATAATAGGAATTATATTTACTGATTTACGCTAGAATAAACCAACGAAAGACGAATGCAGCGTAGTAACCAAGAAATACATGTGCTGGACTTAAAAACTAAATGTTTTTCAAAGAAAGCCCCTAAACAAATTAACCGGAAGCACTTGCTTAAGAAGGCTATCTAAGCCACAGTAGAACAATTAAGTATATTTTTTTCCAACAAATCTTTTAAGGTGGTATAAGCAGCTGATTTCCTTGGAACACCTAAATATCAACACCTAAATAACAATGCAAGTGTACACGCAATCTATACCGCGAGTTCTTTATCTGTGAGGAAAGCTGGGGGATTACTCACACATGACACTTCGTTCTGTTTTTATTTCGAAGGCTTCTCGAGTTTCGTGTTCAATCTTTTTTTTTTTTCATCTGCCAATGGCATTCAATGATATTAAAGGAATTCTTCTGGCATGCGGCCGTGTCCAGAGAGATCAGACGGGTCGAGGCCTAGTGACACCTATAAGCTGTGTGAACATCCTTCAGGAACAAAACTGACCTCTTCGTTAGTCTCTGCGTCCCCGATATATTAGTGTCATCGGCAAAGGAAGGAATAGATTTAACGTGAAGATTTTGAAGCCTTAAAAAAGAAAAACGCGTGTATAAGGGATCCTTCAGTTGTCCTTACAGCTAGACAAAGAATTCGCTTCGCTAGATAGTGGGTGCACGTATCGTTGATCATGGAAGTGTGCTGTTTGTACTATTTTCACACGCTTCTTTTCTTTGTAGTGTTAGATGTGTAGCTGTGGAACGCTTCAGCCTAATTTTCATGAATGCGCATCTGGTACATGGGTTTGTGGACTTTCCGCCATAAACATTTCGCCTGATGTCCTGTCACGTTGAGCTCCTTAGTTTGCTCTTCCAAAAATATTACAAACCAACTGGCCGAGCAAGCTACATATGTGGTGTCCTTTTTCCAACACGGTTGTGACAAATTGGCATCTATCGTTAGTTGAATTAAGTCCGAGATAAAAACTGATGAAGGAAAGGCAAATTACTTGGGCGCGGCGTGGAGCATCGCACGGTTTGCAGGACAAAGCATGGTGAAAGTACAATCACGCTTCAGTGTTTTGTCCGCATTCATTTTCTGTGCGTTACTTCACAGTTCACAAAAACTTAATTTATGGTGATCACCATCTCGTCCGATATTGTTGATCTTGCTCAACCTGCCGATACAATGGGGATCGTTTCTGTTTGATAGAGCATTTCGTATAATAATTGTCATTTTACTTTTCTTTATTCACCAAAAGTCATGCATGTGGTACAGTTTCTTAATTGATTTTGTTTTGCAAATATGCCCTAAACAGCAAGCCCTTCCTCAGTTATAACAATATATTCCCCACACATCGCGCTTCTACCCTGCCCGTTCTCAGTTCTGGCCCCCACCCTTCACATTTGAACTGCCTTTGTTCTTGGACTAGCTTGCACAGTCATAATTATGAATATTCCAGTACCGACTTTCCACACTTTTCACAATTGTTCAAAGCCCACCTCACATATTACATATTCTCGTCAGCTAGAATATGCCGACAGTCCTCGCCAAACACCACAGTTGGCGCTGTCACTGATCGGGATTCGCTGAAATGCAGTGAACTCAAAAGCATCGCAAAATTCACGTTTAAATCTAATCCACCATTATTAGGAGCACTCAACAAGTTTTTTTCTTTATAGCTCACTTATTTACATTGAAATGGCAGGTGAACCTATTTCGGTGCGTTTGCGAGGTAAACAGAATTAAGAATGGCCAGACTGGTCACCGAAGGTGCAACATGAACGTAGGTTATATAGCTGAAAAAAAATCGTATTTAAATGGTGTGCCGAGAGAACACGTCGGCGGCAGCGGCGGCGCAGCAAAAACTGTGGGCGTTGGCGCACCGACCCCTCGGCGCACACCTCTAGGTACAAATGTTGAATTTAGCGGTTTTTGGCTGCTTTTAATGGCTTGTGTTGGGGAATTCTTACTTTTGTCTTTGCAACACTGCTCGTCAGTTGTAGGTACAGCAAAATAAGAAGATACTATCCGCTGCGAATTCCCTTTTGCTACCTGTTCCTTCATTACACAAAGCACCATCGGATTGATGCCGCACCCTCTAGAGTATACCTATCTTCAAGATACTGAGGAACCGGCCAGCCAACGGTTGCGTCAGGTAACGCTTCAATCAGGCAAGAAAGTTCCTGCGAGCCGTTCGTGCCGGCATACAAGTTTGCCGTAGTGATGACATCCAGAACCACATAGTCGTCAGCCCGGCTACCACTGGAGGTATGGAACGAAATCTTTTAATATTTGAACACCGAGTCCCTCTTAAACTTGGCCGAGGCAGCGCCCCAGCTGAATAACTTCGTTTTCAATTCTACTACTATGAAGAGTGTGACATTCGACCCGGTAAGCGATGAGGAAACAATTCATAAGTTCTTGCTGACATCAGCGGTAGAGACCGGCGCTTACAATCAAGCCGGCCGTTTCTCTCACCACTTACTGCTGTAATTCAGGAGCTTCACATTACCAACTGTTTGACGTTGGCTTCCTCCAGCATGCTTAGATGGTCAGCTATACTGCGGTTACCTGAGACAGTTGTACTTCGTAAACTGTGTTGTCAACCCTGTCTCACTATATGAGAGCTTGAGTTCTACGCTGCAGTGCCTCGAAAAGCTTGAGTGGTCCCTGTACCACAATGTCTGTAATGACGCCTACTTCACCATCAACTACGTGCGAAACTTCCAGGAGCTCTATAGACCATGGGTCAGAAGAGTGTACGTCGAGGTATAGCTCACGGAAAACTCGGTAGTTGTATTGAACAATTTTTTAATCTATTGTTCCGAATTGTCGCGGCTTCACGCACCCATCGTCCGGCCGGAGCACCATGATGCGTCGAGAGGTGCTGCTCACCGTCAGGAAATGACGCCAGAAATCTGTGCTCTTCGGATGTTAGGTGTCATCCCCAAACTTGTAGCATACAAATCGAGCTGTGAATTGCGGCCGTTTCCGACGTTGGCATCAGCGCAACTCGGGCAACGTCTGCCGTTCCGCCCGCAAGATCTCATCGAAGGTAATATCGACGCACTCTTGAAACCTGCGAGGCTTGTCAAGGTGTATAATTTGGCCGACGTGTTATACGGAAGAGAGGAGTTGCGGGGCTTCGAACAAGCCATCGTCGCCTGGGAGGCCGATCGTCGAATCGGCGATCTGGTCTGACGCGCCACTTTGTGATCAGAGTCTTGGAAGGACGCCGCCCGCCTCACACTCGTCTTGACAGCGCACGGTGAAGCCCCGCACCCGTTGTCTACGGTGGCGCGCCATGATACGTTGACCCCATGAAGCGATTCTTTGAGACGTGCGCCGTCCGAATAACCAAACTCAATCCGACCACGTTCCACATCATGGTCGACGTCGACGGCTGCGATCTCGTGGCGTCCACGTTGCCCAACCTGCGAGCGGTGGCGCTCAAACCCTGCGGAGTGAACCACGTAAACTCTTTAGTGTCTCTGGCCCGCGGCTGTGCCTTCTTGGAACACCTTGACGTCAGGTCTAGCCATGCCAGTGGCGATATGGTACCAACGTGCGGTGCCTGTCAGCTTCACCTGCGTTTCACGAGGCTCAGTTTCGAACTGTTCCAGGTGAAGACCCGTCTGCGCCGTCTCAGCATCGAGAAGACAGCCAGAATGTCGAACTTGAC